TAGCAGATTAATCTTGTTAAATCATCATGTTATGTACATCAACCCTCATGGTCTACGGTTTTAAGGGCTGACTTCCTCCAGTGTCCCCTCCGATCTCATGTGAACTTCCACTGGACCTGACTAGTTCATTCTCTCTACATTTGTCTCCAGGAAGTATAAAATCATAAAGTCCCTGGAGTTGAGGCCAAAAGATCAGGATTCTATTCTTATCTGTAGCAGTATAATCTGGGCAACTCATTCACTCTCCCTCAGTAAATTTTCTCTTCGATAAGGTTGGAAAAATTATTTTTCAAAAAAATCCTCTTCATTAGATGACTATGAGAACTAAATACAACTATCTATACAGAATGCCCACCTAAGTGCTCAATAAATGTAAAAATCATCATAAATTTGTTTGCATCTTATACTCCTACTTTCAGTGTATCCCTCTTCTTACCTTATATATTTATGTCTTAACTCTCCTCAATACCCTTGTAAATGCCTACATGAGCCATTAATTAGGTAGGTTGGTAGTCCCCACAAAATCTGTTTTTATTTTCTAGTGGGTACTTAACATAGTGGGCTTTTGATCATTCTCTAGATACTTGCTAGGTGCCTACTATGGGTCTGCAATGAGTTTCATTACATTTTTCGGCTTTTAAGATAGCAGATTCTGAAGTGAATAGCCCGTTTCTGTCAGCAGAGTGTAAGATTCAGTGTGACCGAAGTCCTATCTTCTAGTTTTTGTGTAACTACAGAGACTGAAGTCTAGATGCTAGGGTATAGATTTGTTGATAAGTTGCAGTTGCTGGAAGTGTTTTCTGTCTGGAAAATTTTGTCTGTGTATACAACAAGACTTCAAGATATGACTACTCTGCTATCATCAGGAAATTCACAAATGCTCCCAGAACCCTGATTATATTAACAGAAAACCTCTAGTGACTCTACTGCAACTATTTTTCCATATTTCTTCTTCTTCTTCCTTCACTGATGCTATTATGGATATAGTATGAAGCCACAGGGGTGGTCATCTAGGTAGCTTGTGGCGTTAATTCTGTGATAACATAATGAATAAGTTCACATTCTACACTAATATTATTTTTTTAAGATGTGGTCTTTTCATTCTTTGGGGGAAAAAGTGAAATGGAAGAAAGCGAGGCTTAAATTTAATATATGTACCCCTTCAACGAGTCACATATATAATGAGTACAGAAAATCCTGTAAGAACTATCCAATTGCAGGAAGATTCTATCATCCACTAATAGTAATGAATTGAAATTTAAAAATATCTTAACAAAAACGACAGTCCTTCAATCTCTGTTTCTTCTGAGACAATGATGGGCTTAAAGAGTTGGGATTCCCATCTAATCCATGAAATATTTTTGAGAATTTTGCTCACTGTTTTTGAGATAGTTCTCCTTAAGAAAATTGAATTCTTTAAGAATTTTTTTATTAGACTTACTAGTTTAGGCTCCAGTCATGCTAACTATTGCTCCTCTTCAAGCCTCAAACTTTATAAAACCTAGTTTGTAGGATGTAATGTAAAAATGTACATGGGACAAGGGGAAAATATCCATTACAATGAATAATTGTAGATAACGCTATTTTAAGTAAGAGATGATATCAGCTGAGAAGTATGTCCTGAGAAAAATTATTTCCATCATGAAAGGAAAAATTTATTATATATTATATCTAAGTATGTTCAGAAAATGCTAGAAATCAATTAAACATATACACACACACACACACACACACACATACACAGACACACAGACACACTCTCCTCACACATTTGTCATTATGACCTAAATAGTTTGAACTTCATGTAAAACTAGTTTTCATGAAAATCTAAACCTTCTGAAGTCACTTATCTCAAAGTACTTGAACTGCCTTTCATTGAGAAAAGCATTATGTTGGGAAATAAATCATGGCCAATGTTTAGCTAACAGTATCATAATTATGTCTGCATCTAAGTTAGAGAAGCACTTTATATACCAATAGTGTGTTAGTAAAGAAGAAACATTAAAATTATAAAAGAATGTTTTACCTCCCCCAAACTTTTAGCTGACTTTTATGTCCTCAACTGACATTTTTGTTGAATTTCTCCAAAGTCATAGTGCCATTTAATATATGCATTTCTGTGTATTTGCCTTGAAGTAACACAAATTGGTATAAATTGAAAAGGTATTCTCTAAACACAAAACTCACAAGAACCCATCTGAGAAATTCTCATCCCTGCCTCCTTCCATCAAATAAATGAAAATATTTCAAATCAATGTGTCTAAAATAATATGGTTCCCATTAACTATCACATGTCAATTGCCTTGATGAGAGAACACTTAAAATTTTCAGAAAATCCAAAGGACACCCTCCAACCAAAGACAAACCAATGACAATAGCAACAACAAAAATCCCAAGACACCTGGGCCTTGGATAGCCTGTTGTGAATGCTCCATTCCTATCTTCAATTCCACTTTCAATTCCATGGCAATAGAATTTTAAAATCCAACATACAAGTCTCTGCAAAATGCTATTTTCTCTTCACTAAAACCATGAAAATGATTCAGGTCCTGAAAAATGTGACTTGTTACCACTTGAAAAAGAACATTTAATTCATCCTCTTTTCTTATTAATAGGTGTCAATTATCCCTGAATCACCTCCACCATTACCCTGTCCTCTAATAGCCAATCAGATAAAAGATGGTCAGAAGTATGGTCAGAATAGAACACTAAGAGTTGGCAGTTACCGATTGAACAATGACAGGCTAGACTCTTCAGAAAATACTTGAAAGTCCATGACATGTAGCCTTCTGTCTCTTTTGTTTAGGGAGGATTTGACTCATAGAAGGGTGGGTAAAGATGGAAATGCAAGAGCAAAGAACTAGGCCAAGACTGAGCCCTGGCATTTCTGCTGGAGCTATCAAATCTTCAAGAGATGCTTTTCACTCTTCCTGAACTTATAAGTATGTGAGGTCTATTATAAAATGGCCATTTAAAAAAAAAGCAAACAAACAAAAAATGCTGGCATTCTTTTGGAAGTAAAAAGGGCTAATATTACAATGTTTGTTATTCAGATATTTAAAGTTTTAAAGGACAGATTATAACCTCTAGTGTTACTTGGAAACTTGCAGAAAATATAAGATTTAGAGAAGAATTGACGAATAAAAGTTTCCAAAATCATGAAAACAGTCTATAAATCCAATATGAGCAGTTGAAATGTGGTTAGCCTAGAGGGAAAACTAAGTTTTCAAAGTTTTAATTTTATTTAAATTTAATTAATTGAAATCGAAAAGTGAATAGCTACCATACTGAACAAAGCAGCTTTAGAGGTACTGAAGTTTAGCAAGAGCCTTTCTACAAAGGCTTAATATTCTCAAAAACTATTCTACAAACATGTTTATATATATTCATGACTGTGATTACCAAGAGTGTATCTAATAGATAAATCTATCCACCAGGTGAAACTCTATGAAACTTAATCTACTTAATCTGGAGGGTTTTTCATATTTCCTTAAGGCCTTATAGAGAAAGAGAAAGAAAAAAAATTAAAAGGAGGTAGTTTTTTTTTTTCCAATCAGCACTTCTCTACATTATGGTACCTGAAAGCCACAGGAAAAAAACAGAATGGAGAATAGAAAACATCAACAGCCATACAACAACAAAAACGAGCCAGAGTATTCGATGGAGTGGGAAGATGTGAAGGATTAAGAGACATAACCTTTAACTTCCACTACTGTTCAAAATACGAGGCACATGTGTCAACAATCAGAGTGGAAAACTGATAAATTTTAAAATGTGTTTTGCCAGTAAAATAGAATATAACCCCAGGACTCAATAATTCTGAAGCTTTAAGAGCCCTTAAACATTATCCACTTCAAACAGTCCGGCATATATTCAAATAATTTGAAGCCCAGAGAAGTGAAGTGCTCAGTGTCCCTGACATAATAGCCAAGTGTGGTCCCAGGTCTCCTAGTTTGTACTCTCCAGTGTGACTTTCCCTCTGCCTCTGCTGAGCACAGAGTGATCCCTGAGTAGACAAAGAGGCTTATCTCTATCCCCACTTGTTCCAACCCCAGTGAATAGGAAAAAGAAAAAAAAAAAGAATATTTTAATCATGATACTCAGATTGACACAAAAGCTCCCTTCACTCACAGGGTATTCCTAAGCTTACTAAGCACAGTGTGGAAAAATGAATTAGAAAAGAGAATATTTTACACTGGACAGTTAAAGAGTTTAACATGACTCTTGTTATAGAAGTGGCTTGCACTGTACTCAAAAGTTCCATGGGTCAAAGAGAGATAGCTCCAAGTTTCAAAGCAAATTAAAACTCATTATTATGCTTTTCATGACTCAGTGGGACAACAATAATCTACTAAGATGAAATCAAGTGATTATCTTAAGAAGAAAAAACAAATTATCATCTTCCTTTTAGAGATAAAACTTAGATATCATCTAGCTCAAAACTCTCATTTTGCAGGGGGAAAAAAAAACTGAGATGGCAGATTTTAAATGACAAGTGCCAAGTCACACAACTGGTAGGTAGAATTGAAATTTAGAGGCAGGATTTCTGTCTCCAGGTTCAGGGGGTTTTATTACCCTGGAAACCACAATAAGATAGATGTCAACAAATCAGAAAAGGGGAAATAGGACCATTACTCTGTACATGTCATGGTTTCTTAAAAGTCTTTTACTTTCAACTTGAGTTACATTTGGACATAAAATTTCCCATGGATTTGTATGTAATTTCAAGGACTATTGATAGAAAGAAGAGAATCATGTTTCAAGAGCTATGTAAAATATCAGGAAGTAAATTCACTTTATTGCCTGAATTTTACAAACTTTTCTTGGATCGCAGATCATCTTCTACAGATAAATGCCACACTACTACTGATAAGAGCAAAAGATAAAGAACACTGCACATTTTAAATGTCATGTACTTTGAATTTAATACTGTGCTCTTATAAATGAACCCATAAGAGAAAAAAAAGAAAATGCTAAATAAATACAGTGATGGGGCTTACATTCTGGTGCTGCTGGTCTTGTTGATAATGACAGATTTTCCTGTTTGATCCACATTATGATCCAATCCAAAGTAAGCTGCCACCCGATGGACAAGCATCCTCTGATACGATGACATCTGAGGGAACTTTTTATAATGATTACTGAAACAGAGTTACAAGAAAAAGCGAAATCAGCATTTTCATTTCTTGTCCACAGCACGTTTTACAGGTAGACACACAAAACTATTTCTCTTTCATCCAAACCACTAAGCCTTTTGCTTTCATTTCTGGCATTACTTAGTGTCCCCATTTCGAGGCAAGATTTCCATTTATTATAGACGTATTGATTAAGCTACAATACGTATTATTGTTTCATAGTTGCACATTTCTCCTGCCAAAGAGAACTTAATATCTGTTGGAAAGTGTTCTATTTTTGTCCATGATACCTTATCAACAGAGCCAGGCAGAGGACAAATGATATGACATAATACGTGACTACAGATGCCTATCTGGAGATGTGTCATTACCCAGTTTACACTGAAAGCAGCACAATTATTTCCAGGCATAACTGACTGCAGCCAGCTGGAGCCCATTAAAAAACTATAATAAAAATGAAAAGGGTCGCTTCGTGGTACAGCTATTCTATGCTAATTGGTGGCCCCCTGTTTAATAGCCATTTTGTCAGGAATTTAACAAGCAGGAGCACTCGTGGTCCAAGCAACAATCCCCATCAGCATACGACTCCCAATAACATCTCCATTTAACAAATCAAGAAACATATTAAACAATGTTTTATGCCTAAATCTGTCCAAAATGAGTAATTTAATCCAAATATCAAACTAAAACCCATCATCTCATCAGCCAGCACTGCCATTTAACATACTTGTTGTCACCAATGAAATCAATAATTTCCTGCTCCATTTTCAAGAGTATCATCCTGTCCCTGCAAAAAAAAAAATGTTAGAATTAAAGTTTTTATGTAATTTCCATATCTCAAGGACATAAATAGTTAATTATATGCATGGAGAAGATTATTTAAATGCATATTGTTACAAAACTACATCTCACTTTTCTTTAGAACATGCCAACCATTCACTTACACATTATTTCATTTTGCTCCAGATAATTTTTTTCTCATTTGTTAAATCTTTGGTAGTATCTAAATTTTATAGTCAATGTTTATGTTGGCATTCAAGCCATAAAGACCATAAAACATAACAATTAAAAAAACTGTTTTAAATTCACAGGAAACCGAAATAAAGTAAAGCCCAGATATTGGATTTAGATAGGTCTAAAACTGAATTGAAACCTAATTGGTTTACTTAATATCAATAATCTTACTCTCTATTTTTCCTTCTTCATCAGTTATTTCTTTGTGACCAGGAAAGTAAAGCTGATAAACTATCATTTATTCATTAAAGTAATGACCCAGGAGTTATAAATCTATCAATAATAAACATGCAAATTTGAAACAGGTAAAAAGAAATGCAAGAGATAGTTTAAGCCATCAAGAAAGGCATCTGCATTGTACAACTGTCTTAGAAATATCTGGATAAATAACTCTAACATTTTATTTGAACCTTCCAATAATAAAGAGACTTGTTTAATAATTTACCTGGAATTATTCTTTAGAGTGTTAATCAGAAACTCATGTAAGTCTATGCCTGTAGAATCGGTGTATTCTTGGCTGCAGTCTGAAACAAACAGAAGGGTGGAGTTGTAAGAAATGGCGGGAAGATGAGATAGAAAATGCTCACCCAGCCCGCCTCCTTTCCTTCCAGCTCAGGTACATTCTAGATGAAGCTATTGTTATGAAAAAAAAAAAAATATGTTGCATAACTAGCAACCTGGCAGTGTGACATCAAAATGAAAATAAGGCTTGGGGATTGAAAAGATCCTGACTGTGGAAAGACCCAAATATGGAAGGGGAAGTGGGCACAGTCTGGTGTTGGGAGGGGTAGAGCCAATTATCACATGTTCACCCTATGTTGCAAATCAGCCAGGCACTGCCTCCACATCACAGAAAATCCCAACCTCTAGAGAAGGCTCTAGAGCTTGAGATCTTACAGAATCCTTTTTCTCTTGGAAAGAAGGAGGTGAAAAAAAAAAAGAAAGTTCTGTTACAAGACCTCCTAAATATTAATCAGTACAAAACACAGAGGCGGGCACTAAACATTCCCAAGTCTTTCAGGTCTCCTGATGCTAGATAAAACTTAACTTTCCATAACCACTTTAAAAAGATGAGCTTCTTGACTCTTGTGTACACCTCGAGTTTTAGGCATAGAGCAGCAGAGACAAGTGTTATAAACCAAAATGTTGTTTGATATTAGGAGTGGTTATCACTCCTCCGCAGATCACATGCCCAATTCTTTCTCAGTTATCTTTAAAAAGTCTACTGAAAGGTTATTTATGCGTCACATTCTTCATTTCAACTTAGGTTTATTTTGTACAGTGATATGTATGGCAATATTCAAAAGGCTGTAGCTGTAGAAGGGATTACTTTTGGGGTTGTTTTTTTTGGGGGGGATAGGAAGGGTAGAATGTGTATTAAAGTAGTATGTGTATTTTTAAAAATGAAACATTGGGTGACAGTGTATGGGTGCAGAGACCAAAATCAGGTAAGATGTGAATCAGGTAATCCACGGACATACAGTTCTGTACTTGCTTGGGAGACTACCTCACTGACTGACAAAATCTGGTTGCCATTTGCCTTTTTAGATAAACATGAGGGTTAAGATAGAAAACTGGGTATCATTGCTGTTCACCACTCCAAGTTAACTGGTCTAATCAATCTGAATTTAAGAGCACATTTATATTTACTCCTTTGTACAGCTTGCAATTGAAAACAGGAGATTCACATGTGAATACAAAGAATTATGTGATCCAAAAATATCCTAACTACACAAATGATAGACTATGAACAGAAATGAAATCAAGTTCACATCTTTTACACGCACACATATGTACACATATACAATCGTATGCAGAGCCTGTCAGGTGGTGAATATGCATGTGCTCTCTAGAACAACTTCTAGAACTACATATGTGCCCAAATTGAGGAAATCAAGGAAACATTTTCACATTCACCTTTTGATAACATTCTGATCTTGGGTTTTTCAGAGGTTTTATCTTTGTTTTTATCCTTTTCTTTTTCTCTCTCAGAGTCATCTTTCCTAGATTTATCCTCCTCTTGCAGGCTGGGAAAACTGGAAAGCTGTAAATGAATTGATTCCTGTTGGGGAGAAAATATAATAATTTAGGGCCAGATTTAATAATCTCTGTCTGGTTTCCATTTTGCATAGAGGTTATTAAATACAGAAAAATGAAAGCCAGGTGCAGACTTTTTTTTTTCTTAAATGGTAAAAATTAAACCTGCCAGAAAAATAATTGCCCTTTAAGGTGAATTGAACTTTAGAAGTCAAGGGGAGGTCATGAGAAACATCTAGTACTGAAACTTTGCCTCATGAATATTAACCTCAACTAAGTTAAATTCCTGTAGATCACAACTCTTATTTTTTCTACAGGCTTATTTTTAACTCCCTAGGAAAAATTCCTTCATCCATCAGCTTACATCAGAGCCACTGTCATGTATTTAAAAAAAAAAAAAAAAAAAAAGATTTTCGTAGTTCTTTTGTAACTCCTTATAAGGAGAAATTGGCACAAACATAGACAGACAGAGTTTATGAATTGTTATTACAGATAGAACAGACATAATGAAAGCCCTCAATACCCAATTTATAATAAACTCCTACTTTACAATTTACAATACTCCTAATTTTAAATTTATAATTTACTCCTACTATGATAAATCAAGCTTTATGACACCAGGAATCCCAGGTATGGATTACCATGATTGTTTATAAATGCCATCAATAAGTCATTATGACATATATTTACAAGAAGGATTGCCTTTTAGAAAATGTAGCCAGTAGAATTACATTTTTTCATAAATTCTACATAAATACTTAATTGGGTTTTTTTTCATTTTAGTATCAACTAATCCTTTCCAAAATATAAATAGATTCTTTCCAACCCTCTCTTGCTTCATATAAAATTGACCCTGTACAGTTTGGGAGCTGGATCTTCTCTCTAGTATTTATTTTGTGCTGAAAAACAGTTCATTTTGCATTAATTCACAAATGCTAGTGGTTTGTCTGATAGTATGTTCATTGTTTTGAAGAAGAATGAGCCATGTCATGTTTATTAGTTTTTTGAAAAAAGTTATGTCATAATTAAAATTATGACAAAGCAGCCAACACGAAGCCCATTTGTTCTTATGTAAGAGATCACATGGTGGGAAGCTTCCTTCCAGGAGTGACATTAAAATTTATGATGTAGGGGGAAAATGTATTCCCAGTGACTAATAGTGTCTCTCATGGAAAAGCAAGCTAATGCTCACTTTACATGTGACTAAATCGATGCCGGCACCTCCTCAAACTGTGACCAATCTGGTATTCATAATGGTTCTTGGCAAATCTGGCTAACCTAACAGGCATAAAACAAAAGTCCTCTGAAGCCAAATCTCTTTTGTTGGGAGGGGTTCCATTGTGAACGCCTGGCTAGAACAAAGTCACCATGCTTGGAAAAACAAACAAACAAAAAACATGGAGGAGGAAATAAAACATGCTCTCCTGATAAATATTTATCTCATCTGTTTTTTTTTTTTTCATTTGATTGCCACATGTTTATCCTGGGGAATTGGATGTACATGAAATATGTAAAATGAAATGTAATTTGATTATAGTGCCTTTCACAACACCATTTGGGGAAAAAATGTCTTAATTGACAAAGGTTCAAGCAGACTAGAGGGTAATGATTTGCTTCTACTTGTTCAGGAAAACACTGGGACACTTCTGGCTAAGGCATGACTGCGGGCTGTGATGGGGAAGAATCGATTTGCCAGTTGATTAAGGGGGGAAACTGGATTGGGCACCCTGGTCATGAAAATGGTCTCATTACTTCTTCAAAACCAACTGAAACATTTAGCCTCTGTAAGCTTGAATCTACAATCAAAGAGGCTTGGAAATACAATTTAAATGCAAGAGCAGAGGCACAGAAAAACTTTCACTACAAAAAAAGAAAAATACGTACAAACTGATACCATGTGTTGACAAATACTACACTCAGGAAAAAAATAACTATTTTTCTATACATAAATACGCATTATGGTGTTGAAAGAACACACAAAAGTGCTTTAGAGTTGGTAAAAAACAATCTGTTATTTTTTAATATTTTTATTGATATACTCAATAATAAAATACAAGTGTTAATAAATACATTGGTACAGGATAAGTTTATATCCAACAACAGTAAAAGAATGATTCAAGTTGCAGTAATACACTGATAGGTAAATAGTATAACATTAGAAAAGCAAACTTCCTTTAACTTAAGGACAGACTGAACCATCAGGTATGGGTCTGAGATCAAGTAATACAGGTAGCAAGAGAGTCTTTTCCACACAGGAAAATGAAGGCAGTTTTCCAAATACTGTGAATATACAAACATTGGGGAAGCCATACAATCCATATACTGTATACTTCTGCCACTGTTCTCTGGGTTCAGTCCACACATTTTGCTAGTGCCGGTGAGATCTAATGAAGGCATTGCACATAAACTCAAAGATCTGCTTCTTTAGTCTCTAAAAAGGTAGCAGGGCCACTTGCTTATGTGTGTGTCTGGGTATTTTCTATCAGCCCCCTGTTCCCACCACTCCCAGCTAGTCAAAGAAAAGCTTGCAGGCTCTAATTCTCTCCTACAAGCTACTCTTTGTTTTCTGAGCTTGGAACCAGCAGGAACAAAGCACCGTTTGCATCTGATTTCTCTGCACCAATCATACGGAGAAACTAGATTTAGGTCCAGGTTGGACACTATGATACAGATGATGTCTTAAAAAAAAAATGTCTTCCTGTGTTTTGTCCAATGGGACTAAAAGCAGATTGAGTCTATAGAGGCTGTCCTCCTCTGCCTGGCACTAGGAGTGGGAGACAACTGGAGCATTACTTCGGCTAGGGTCTGTCATTCTGAAGAGTTAACACATGTCATGTGCAGTACATTATAAGCCATCAATCAACATTTAATAATACAAGCCATGATATTCACATTATTCCCCCCTTTCAAATCTCCATTAAAAATAGAAGCACAAATAAAATGCTGAAGAAAAGCCACACATTTCTCAGAGCCCAAGTTAAATAAAGCAGATGAAGGAAACATAGTAATGGCCACTGAATGATAGCCTGTTCATGCCTTGTGACATGAGTGGCAGGTTAAGAAAATGAGGCTAGGAAAAAAAAATACTCTTAGGACAAAAGTCTATAAGGGATTTATTTTTGGTCCTTTTAAAGAAAGTGCTCTCAATGCTCTCTGTGTCCATGAAGAGAATTTAGAGTATTTCAATTAAAATGAAGAGAGAAAAGCAAAACAAAACCAAACAAAAATAATGACATCTTAATCAATTTTCCCTCCCCTGGGCTCAGATAAATCATTTTAACTTTTGTCCTGACTGCTCTCAGCCTCTTAAAAAATAAGCAAAATTTCAGCAGCAAGATTATTTTTATAAAAGCTAATGTGCTGCCTAAAGGCAAACAAAAATAAATATGATGTGAACTTTTTCATTTTGTCATACAAGAGTTTTGTTGAAATTTAAAATTTTGGAGCCCAATAATCTTGCCGTAAGGAGCAAAACTAAAGGTAAGGAGATGCAGCGAAATGTTAATAATGTTAACTTAAATTCACCATTAGCTCAGATTCGTTTCTGGATAATTTTTGCAGTATTGAGCAATCTCCACCAAAGCCCGTAAAGTATGTCTTCAAAGTTCAATGCACCTTAGTCATTATTTCACAAGTGTCATACGAGCCAACGGTTGTGTTTCTTATAGGCAAGTGCTTTTTGGGGAGCTGAGAGGTAAGACATCTCCAACAAGGAAGGAGACAGGGTACTTAGGGCTATATTTGGTTCAGCCTTATCAAGAGAGAGCCTTGGAGGAAATTCAGCACTACTGTGCTTACTTTTTTTTATTTAAGTTTTAATCTAAATTCTTTTGAATTCCTTTCCATTTGCAGTTTTCAGAGAGTCTGGAAAAAAACAAACGTAATACTCTGTGATAAGCTTTTAAACTATTTTAAAATGTCTCATAAACAGGTGTTGAAGCAAGAAAAGTATTTCTTTCTTCAGGTGTACTCTTCTCCCCCAAAACACTGTTCAATGCCAAATTTATCATCATGCACACAGAGACAGGTCTAGCTCATGCAATTCAAGATAGTGACAGGGATTATACCTGATCCTGAAGGCTTTCAGCTCCTGGTCTGGCTGTTGACTCCTCACAGACGGCTAGACTTCGAGTCAGTTTACCTTTTCCTGCTCCTGACTGAGGGGTGGGGAGGGGGGAAGAAAGGGAGAGAAGGAGAAATAAAGAAAACAAACAGAAAGCATGCTCAGGCTGTCAAATCATCTCTAGGTCCACATGACATTTCCAAAATTTTAAAAAGCAAGTTCTAAGTCTGTTGCTCAGTACTGTCTACACCTGGGCAAAGCATCAGACCTCTCTTGTTGATGGGGATGGAGACAGAGGAGAAGATGAGTGGATGTATGCAAGGAACAATTTTAGCCAACTGGGCCCATTACTTTGGAAACACATGAAGAATGAATTGCTGCCATGTCATACAGATATTAAGAGAAAAATAGCTGATTAAATCAACTTCCACTAAAATTATGCTCAGAGGGATTTGACTGAGAAGATGATTAAATGATAAAGTGTACTAAATAGCCGTACCTATTTATTTTAAGGCAGAAATCAGTTGGTGAGACTAAATCATCTACCCCAAATTTTATTTAAAATAAAAATAAAACAAAAGACTATGTGTTTTAGAAAGCACCATGAAATCTTCAAGTGTGAAAATAGATCAAATGTATATATCTGCAGTTATCCAAACTCTAAATGCTGGAACTGGGGAAAAAAAAAAAAAAAAAAAGCATACAGAGCAGGAAAGAAAGAGACCTGTGAACTGTGAACATGATCACATTAAAAGAAGACAGCACCGACCCCTCTGCGACCCACCACATCTGCACACAACTTCCTTGAGTTGTTGGCAAATCCTTTATCCCCAATGTGAAATATACAACATCCACGCTATGGCTCTACCGAGAATCTCAAGAACCCTACCTTGGATTTTCTTCTCTCTTGATTCTGAGCTGCCAGCCGCCTCTGTGTGTTAGAAACAAAATGAAATAAAAAAGAAAAAGAATAGTGAACAGACAAGCAAGAGAGAGAGAGGAGAAAGAGAATGAGAAAGTGGAAAAGAAAAGGCATCACTACCAAATAGTAGAGAAATTAACAATACTGACCAGGCATTCCAATTACCAGGGAGAACCCCTGACCTAGCTCCCAGCTTCCCCCAAAGTGTTAACTTTCAGCTCTCTCTCTTTTCAGAAAAAAAAAAAAAAATACAAGAGAGGAGAAAAACTGGCCTCGAGGTTTTTTTGACCATTTTGTGATCTCAGTCTTTGCCAACTACTGGTACCTAAAGAGTTAACACTTTCAAAGTTTAGTTCAAAGGAAATTGATACTCACACACCATTTCTAAGTACCCTTTGTATTCCCTCTACCAAATCTCTTTCCCCTATAAATCTTAGTGTATTTAATTATAACACTTGTCCACTTCCTTCACTCACTGCCAGTCTTATACTTCCCCTATAGTGTTCTGACTCTGATTGATAATAAGATTTAAACCTTAACTTGCCCACGAAGGTCACCAGAGCTATGTCTTTGACTTTTCTCAGTCAGCTGTGCATCAAATCTTCATCTTTCCATAGAATTGCAAGCCCATTTTTAAAACTCAGAGAGCCCAAAGGTGTCTCTGGAGAGGCCCTGCAGGTATCACTCAAAGTGGTCTAGCAACTGGTCCTGGGATGATGTGTGCAAATTCGGTAATTAAATATGTTCCTTAGATATTTTTCATTTCAAAAGGCATTTTAGAGTATAGTTCAATCAAGAAAAAAAATTATTCATAATTGGGAAAGGAGAGGATTAACATTAAATATTTCCTAACCATTTAACTAGTCAAACTCTTTTTAAAAAAGAAGAAACACATCTTCAAAGTATTTTAGAAAAGAAGGAAGAGAAAAAAGCACACAGTGGTATGAGAATCGGGGGTCTATCCAGACTTACCTGCAATTCCAATTTCTCTTCTTCATCCAGACTTTCTGATTTCACTATGCCATTCTCCGGAGCGGCTGTCTCCTGCTCAGTCCTCCCTTCCTCCACTATCGCCTGGTTCAGGTCTCCTTGCTCAGACATTCTCCCAGATGCAAATTAAAATAACAAAGTTTGATGCCCTAGGAGGTTAAGATATCAGAAAATATCATCAGTGCAGCTAAAGTTTTGACTCTAATTGTTGACATTTTTCTTTTCTCCCTTTGTATGCAAATTCATATGAACAACTCAGGCATCCCCATCAATTTTATATGAAAAAGAGGATAAAAAGAGATGAAATCAAGTACCCAATGCACGCATAAGAGGCAGATGCGGTCACCCCATCCACACACTTCTGCACACACGCAAGCACACTTGTGATATACCTTGCCATCAAAACAGATCCACTAATCTTAGATGAAGACACATTAACTCCCACACAACTACCAGTGCCCATGCCCTGCTACAAAGTGGAGGAAGAAAATTAGAATAGTTCTCTAACTCTTGAATAGCTGAACTTCAACTTCTGGGTCAAGAGGTGGGAATGATGTTCTGCAGCATCTCTACAATGACTCCAAGATCATTTTCAAGTTTGAACCACAGACACACTTACCTAGTACAAAGAATATAGTATATTCAACAAGGGGCAAAAATCAACTGAAGAGGTAATAATTCAGTATAAATATGGGATCTAATTTTGGCAATAAACCTTTTAGGGTCAATATTTCCAGGCTTCAAACTGACAGCTACATTATTAAAAGCATAAGCCCTCTCCCAGGCTCCTGTCAGTTGCTGGTGCTGCAGGATCCTGCAGAGGAAGTCTGGCAGGCAGCTCTAATGAAGCTATCGCGACTCAACTCCGCTACTCCAGGCTCACAAGAGTCTAGTATACAGACACTGGAAATGGCTTTTCAAAGTTAAAGCCTGTTATTGTTTTTTTTTCCTCCCTACCTCCATAAAATCTCTGACACATCCCCTTCTGATGTGCTGTCAGAGGAGGCTCATGAATAATTTAGCACTGACTTCCTCCTTATTTTTTTAAGCAATGAGAAAGGAAAAAAAAAAGAAGGAAGGATGTAGGAAAAGAGGAAGGAAAAGTGGAGAGAGAGAAAGAGGCTATAACTGAGAAAGTTATTTTTTTTTTCATAAAAATTCCCAAGTAACGACTGTCCAGTGATAATTAGTATTGGATGTTTCTTGGAGAGTGTTTAATTACCATTTACTAATTCAATGATTTTATTTCCAACTGGAAATAGGAAGCATAAGAAAAATCTATACCACAGCAATTTCTATTGCAAATTTGCTAAAATCTACCATGACAGAACAGATGGGATGTAATGATCTTTAAAATACACAGGCTCATTTTGGCAAAGGATTGTGGGAATGTAAAAGGAATAGTTTTCCTAAAGGACAGTGTTTTGAAGTCTTTAAGTGACTAATGATCAATGCTTTCAAGTTTGGGAAGGTTTTAGGATCCGGTGCATTCTGACAGATTTCTCAGATCCTACTGGCACTCAGTATGTGTGGTTAACAAATTAAAAGTTCTGTTTCCCACTAGCAAACAGCTTGTTTCTCAGTGTATTGAGTAGGGGGGAGGAGAAAGAACTTTGGTTGCCTTAACTCATTTATCAGAACATTTCAGTAAAAAAAAAAAAAAAGCAGATCATGACCAGATGTAAAATGGAGTGAACAAATTGAGCTCTAGTTTTCCAAACTACTAGCCAAACAAGCCTCTGATATGGATCCCCATCTACCGTGGTTACAGTCAATGAAATGTTCCACACGAACAGGCACATTGGTGTCATAATAGGAAAATACAGATGAGGTGACAGTCAGAGAGGACCTTTACCTTTCACGCAGAATTCCTGCTGTAGGTCTTGGTGACTTACTAGCGGCTTCTGTCGTTCTACACCGGGAAAATCCACACAAGTAATCAGAGGCAACTGGCGTCCCATGTCCCCATTAACAGTTCAGAATGCCCATCTCCATGCGGTTCCCTTACACAGTTTGACGCATCATCGTCAACCTGAAAAAAGACGAAAAGTAAATAATAATAACTGCAATAATCATGGTAGGGTGAAGGACAAAATAAATAAGACTGGTTTTCTAACACTAATGACCAGATTCCAGCAAATCACGTTCACAGCTTGATCCAGCTCCACCTGTCTCAAGCTGCCTGCTTTTTCTCTAATGAAGGCTACAGCCGGCTGTTCAAGTCAGAGCGGCACCCACGCAAGGAGCTAAAATTAACAATTGCATTATGCACTGAAGATTACTCACTTCAATTTTAACCTTTTTTAGTGAAATCTCGCACTTTGTGTTAAAAAAATAAAAAAAAAAACAAGCTTGTGTGTTTGCCTCAATGAGAACCCAAATCACCTATGAGCAACAGCCTTGTCTCCTTTTTTAACCCAAGTCTTTGTCTTAATTATAGATTAATATGATATACTTTAATTCTGTTTCTGTGACTCTTTGTGAAAGTTACCTTAGTGAAGCAAATTTAAAGTTTCTGATGTAATGAAGCATTGTCTATAAAGATTTTTTTTTTAAAGTTAGGAAATAAAGAAAACTTTCCTAATGGGCATGGCTAAGAGCGCTCTTTTTACTCCACTTACAGTTCGAGAAGAATTCCTGATATCCCTGTTGCATGGTGAACAGTCTATCCACACCCCTCCCTCCCCATTAGGATTGCTCCACCAGCTGGGCATTCTGTTTGACAGCGAAGAAACACTGTCAGAGGGATTCAAAGATTTGCAAACTCCGAATCTGTTGAAAACAATACATGCTATAATGTGCACTTTCTTTTGCTCACAACTCCTACAGGAGTAACAGCAAAGACAGCTTGAATGCAAACATAGAGATGGGCTCCTAATAATGTTTGCCAAAACCAAACCCTATCTCTTTCCTCTTGCTGTAAAACTACTTGTACACACCTGCTAACTGCCAACAGCAGGCACACCTCTTCTATCTTATGCCCATCTGTGAAAACCCTAACTGCCCCCCTTGCCATCCACCCTCCACCAGTTTAAATGAGCATGGCTGGTTCCTTACAGGATTTCACCGTGACTGTTCTAACAACACTCTGGGTTATGAAGCCAATTATTGTGCAAGAATAAAACAACTGTTGAAAATACAATCACTTATAAAGGCAATAATTTCTGGATTCATTTATGCTTTATCAAGATGGGTAGTTTGTCTTTAAAACATGCATCTTTTGTTCTTGGATATCATATAGCTATTGAAAGATAAGCAAACATGCAGTTAGAACAAAATGGATTGCTAGTCAACAGTAATTTGAATGTTTCAATTTTGACCAGCTGAATACTATAACTGACACTCAATATTAAATAGAAGTCACCGTGTCTTAAAATCAGGATCTATTAACTAACACACCCATCACCTAATTTTTCTTAGAAGAAACATCAGCAATCAGTGGAATTACCAAATGCTTTTTGGATTCTGTTTTCTTTTTCCCAAGTCGAATGAAGTTATCAACAGTCATCGCCAACCCCTTTGCCTTCTCTTTCTGACTGTCATATTTGTACAGTGGCATTTAATCCAGCAGGTGAAGGGCAATGCAGTTTGAAATCTGAGCCTTAGATACATGATTCCAGCTTCAGTAGGAGGATGCAAGATATAATTCTCTCCACAAAGAAAGAACAAACTGATATTCACATAACTAACTCCAAGCGCTAACAGACTGGATATATATGTGTGCGTAATTACCAGAACAGGGTTTTGAAATAGCACTGAGCTCTAAAGTCAGCGAGGTATTATTCTTGCATGCCTGAATCATAAAGTCATCATCTACCGAGATAAAAGAGAATATGGGCATATGGGAGTGAGCAGAGAGGAACATATGGATCACAAATATTTTTGTAACTGATTAAAATTGTTCTCTTTGCTAAGAAAGTGGTGCCAGGAAACCAGCCCTACTCCAGCATTCTGTTCCCCAAACTAGCCCCACCCTTCCATAGCCATTTAATCTCCATTTGTTCCACGTTCTCTCATTTGCACAAAGAACCTGAACTATATTTAATGAATATGTTTTTCTGCAACATTTTGTTAATAGATACTCTGACCAAATTTTAATTTTTAGAGTTGGAAGGATGGAAAGGGGAGGAGATGATATACAAATAAATACACAAAATAAAAGTTAGTGTAGTTCTCATCAATAGCAATGTAATTTTAACCATAATTTGGGAGTTATTATTTGATAGAGGCCAAAAAACGGTCCATAGGAAATTGATCAAAAATGCTAGCTGCTATTTACAATGAAGACAATAATTCCATATTATATTTATGCTGTTTTTATTTGCTTAGCTTGCTTTAGATTTGAAGATCACAACAATTAGGATTGTGGGGATAAGATAAAGAGGGAAAGAGGAGGAAGACCCAGTACAAAGCACCAAATATTCTATCTTTACCACCAACAAACTGTGTCCTACTTTCTTGCATGTATCATATGTTAATCAGTGTGCTGCCGCGTAGGCAAAGCAAGATCAGGATTTGATTCAAATTCCAGCAGGGATTTAGTTCTCAGGGTGTATCTAAACCGGAAATTTAGGCTGAATTCTATTTGCAAGTTGTGAGCGTCAATTCATTAGTTACTTTCTACACAGTACTTACATTAAAACTTAACCCAGAGATGACTAATCTCATCCCAGATCAGTATAGATACTTTATAACAAAACCACACAGTCAGATCTACTTATATGGACAATTGAAATGTTCCTCTTATAATTATATTTTCGTCTTTTTTTATCAGGTCACAGTTCTACTAATGAAAACCACTTGCATATCACAGTTACAGTAGACAGTTTTCAATTTTTCACATGAAATACATAAACACTGCAGAACTGTATAAACCAGAATAGTACCCATTCTCAAAACAGTTACTCTGCTAACATTTTAAAAAGATTTTGAACCTGTAAAGTTAAATTTAAAGAGAAGATATTGGAATGTAAACCTTTCAGAAATGAAAGCAACAATGAGTACTCATTGATCATATCTTAGTAAGGTGTCCGAAAACATTAAGAAGAAATTTTCACATAAATTAATTTCCTAAAGAAAATTTTATCTTTTAATACATGCATGATAAACACTCAACCATGAACTGTACCTTTTAATTAAACTCTTTTTGGTCAAACAAATACACAAATATTCCATAAGATTCTTGAGCCATCATGCAAATAATAAAATAATCAGAACACCATTTTGGAAGAAGAACCCAGAAGAAAAATTTAAAAAATCAATTCTTCATTTAAGAAAACAAATTTGGGCTGGGCATGTAGCTCAGTGGTAGGGTGCTTACTTACTTAGCATGCACAAGGCTTTGAGTTCTGTCCCCAGTTACTCAAAAAAAAAAAAAAAAAGGAATGTTAACATAAGATTTTAGGGAACTTAAATATATTACATAAATATTCGTGTTTAAGCTTAGTCAAAGAATTGGGCAGTTTAAAAACATAAAGTAGCTCATATGTAGAATTTCACTTTTTTTTTTCTTTCATTGTAATAAACCTGAATAGAAAAATCACATAGGTCAATATTTAGCTGGATTACAACAATGACAAGAATGAATGCCAAAGCTTTGTAAAAAACAGCAGTTTCATGATAATATGAATGCTTCAAAACTAAACAAGTCTAATGTCAATGAAAACATCTAAAGCAAAAAGGTCATGTGCCAGTGTTTCTTTTCTTCATTCTTATAACAAGTACAAAGATATTCTACAGTAAGACATGATATTCAGGTCAAATAACACAATCCCCCTTTGAAATTTTTTTTTCTTTCTTCCAAATATGACATGAATAAAAAATAAACAAATCAATATATGCTCCAAAAGATCAAGGCCAACAAATGATAGTACAAGAGGGAAAAGTGGTATTCTGCTTTACAAAATTTCCTCTGATATATGGATGACACATACATATACAAACTAGTTCTATGCTCTAGTTAGTACTTGACTGTACAGGTACCCAATAAGTTGTATCATCTTCTTAGCAGCCTTGTCTTTGATAAATACGCTTTGCTAATTATCCATATAATGTGGACACCACAAGATCAAAGAGATTAGGTAGGGGAAATAAGATGTTCCGAGAACATTTGCACCTCAATTGGAGTCAATGCACATGGGGCCAATGTGCCTCACCAAAAGAGGGTATTAAACACTATCAATTCTAAACATTGTTTGTCCATAGCCTACTCTTGACATAGTTGAAGGCAGTGCAAATATCAGGCTATCATTAATCTGGGAAAGACAGCTAGATGGAATGGAGCACCTGATTGGTAGCATATGAATGACTTGCCCATCTCTTGGTATATTTTTTATTGCAAACAAACAAAAAAATATAACCAAAGTCAAAGACACAGAGACTGGGGTCAATGGTCTCCTAATGCCATGTTATAAAGTAAGCCCCAGCTATCTCTGAGTGCACTGAGGCTGATGCTGATTTTAGTTTGACTGAATAACCACTGGTACTTGTCCAAGGATTTGCAAATGGCCTCAACTTCCATAATCCATGCATTCTAACACTACTTTACATTTCCATCCTCACTCTATTAAGAGTCCAGCCATGATCTATCCAAATGAGGAGTATTGTCATCAACCTCTGACCAGGTATGAACTTTAAAAA